ATAGTGTAATTTGAAAGAGGAATTTGGGATAACTTATCTTCAGCAGCTTTTCCCAGCATGATATTCGCCATCTTCAACGCAGCTGGTTTTACGAGTGTTTCACCAATGGTGTGTGGTTTGCCCTGCTTTGCGATCAGGTACGCAACTTCGTACGATGCTGCGAGGATCGGTTTGTCGATGGGTACAAAGCCGAGAACAGGCAGAGTAGCCTTTTCATCGAATCTGGCTCTCTTCACCTTGAATTCAGCGAGCGTTGTGTTCTTGTATTTCCCATCTCCATGCAGCTTTAGGAAGTGTTCCTTTAGTTTTGCCGGTGCTAGACTAGAAATGCTCAACTTGGCATTGCAAATCATGCATTGAGGACGCTGACTCCATCACGTTCCTTTATACACGTGATCCATATTGTACGTATTCGTCCAACCACTTTCTTTTTTTGCTCGACATAGTTAGTATGAAGGGATTGAAAGATTAAAAGAAAATCACAAATACGTACAATCACAACAGCCACAAGTGATTACTGAGCACCAAGTTCCTGATCACGTAATGTGGCGTGATCAGCTGCAGCCAATGATGGCCAAGCGGAGCGTGACGTCACGACTAATACAAGTGGGCTGAATTTATTTTGTGTAACACTTGTAATCTAACACAGCGAAGAAAAATTGTGTGTTGCAAATTTTTTGACGGCTGACAAAACCGCCCGACATTGCTAGTGCGAACCGGGCTGCTATACTGTGTGTCTTGACCCCTGCCGAACCCCGGAGAGTGACTCAACGAACCCCTGGGGTTCGATCGAACCCAGCTTAAGAACCACTGATATAGATAGTTATAGGAGTGCCTACAATTGGTGCAAGAATAGGTGAATAAAGTGTAAGTAGGTGACTTGTTACGTGTCGGCATGAGTAATTTTTGAAGACACTACACATAGTTCCATTGATAGTTCCATTTATTTGGTATAGCCCTGTGAGTCATTCGGCTCTTGAATCGGGTGCAACCGCAACAAACACAAAAATAACAAAAAACATCTTAAAGTGACTATGCGACTGTGCAAACAGAAAATCCAGGAAAAAAACATCAAATATTCCTGAAAAAGCACCGTACACCAACACTGTGTGCAAAAATCCCAGTGGGATGCAAGTCAAACAAAACAACCACAAGACAACTTAGATTAAGGCCATCAGTCTAACTCCGTACTACAATAAACAAAAACATGGCCAAACCAAAAAACGTTTTCGAAATCACCAAAACATGACACAAAGTAGCTATGCTTGATTTCAGTGTCAAATATATACACATTATACACTACATACAATAATACTGCGCTCATATACATAAACCCATGTAGTCTTCGAGATTGGAGTGGTAATACGATACAGTAAATAGAGTAACTTTTTTAAAGTTGGATGTTCATTTTTGTCCATTGTATGTTAATGTCTGACAATTTCATACAGTAAAAAAAAAAAATATAACACCTAAAAACATGTCATACAAGAATGTGCAAAAAAATCTATTTTAAATAATTATTTAGTGATTAATTATCCGGAGTTTTTGAAAATCTGGCGTCCCCTCCCTCGTGGATAATCGATGATCGACTCTAAACGCGTGATGTTGATTTTAAATGTGGAAGGAAAAACCGGAGGGCACGGAGAAAAATCCATGCGACCACGGGGAGAGAGACACTGCAAACTCCAAATATACAGCAGGGTCAGGGTCGGAATTGAACCCACGACCTCCTGCATACAAAGCGAGGTAGTTAACATCTCTACGGGGAGAGACACGCAAACTCCAAATATACAGCAGGGGTCAGGGTCGAACCCACGACCTCCGTATACCAGCAAGGTAGTTAACATCTCTTAGCCACGCGACGCCCTCTATCTCACACAGACGGAGCAGGTGGAGTCCACGTTTGACGGCCTCAAGGTGCACCTAGCCTGGCACAAAAGGGGCCGTGGCCATCACGGCCGCAGGAACAGCCCACGGGAGACGAAACGCCATCGATTCAAGAATCGCGATGGCGAATCGCTCACACCGATAGCCTCGGAATCGATAGTCGACGCCGTCGAGTGGTGACGTCACGCAACGTGCGACGGCCACTCGGAACGCCAAATGACATCACCGATGACCTCGAACTTCCGAGACCTGAGGGGAGGACGAGGGTCCGCGTCAAACCGCGCGTCTGGGCACAGGCATCGCCGCGTTTGCGTGCCGTCACGTGAGCTCGCCAGCCGTGCGGGCTCGCACCCTGGCCACATCGAAGCGAAGGGCCGGGCGAGTGACGTCACAGAGTCACAGGTAAGACGTGACGTCACGTTGTGCCCCCCCCCCCCCTAACAAACATGCCAGATGAGAGGTTTTTAACCTCTTAAGCTTTCGGTCTAAGGGGCCGTCTCACGGCGTCACAAAAAGTCAGACCCCCCTCAAATATGACGTCACAAAGCTCTGCCCCACCCCCCAAAACCATATTTCATTTTGAAAGTAAAACATGCTTCAAATCGCTTTAAACTATTGTCATTGTAGTGCGTATTTAATGTGGCGCTGCACTCTGATGTTGTAGGAGAAAAAAGTCTATTTAATTAAGTAGAATGTGTCTATATTTATTTAAGTTGCGCATTTTGATGTGACGTCACATTTCTCAACCCCCCCCCCCTCGTCACACATCGTCACAAATGTCTGACCCCCCCCCCCTAGGTGCGTGACGTCATTTATGGACGGCCCCTAAGGTCACGTTGCGGATGAACATTTACAATTTTCCCGTGACAGTTTACGAAAAAGTTTTAGGGTCATTTACATATTTGCAGCATTATAATAATTGTGGTAAGGGAGCGATTTTGACTTAACTTTAGTGACTGCAGGAATTCATATTCTATGGTTCTTTCGTTAAAGTAACTTTTTTGGTAAATTCACTTTTTAATCGGTAAAATCACTTTTTAATCGGTAAAATCACTTTTAATCACTTTTTATATTTTTGCTATCTACCTGACTTACCGAAAGAACCATAGAATAATGGAGACGATGTCACGGGCTGTTGGCTGTGAAAATAAACACGATTCGGAATTACGGATAAATCCGAAATTCAGAATTGCATCCTGAGTACAGATCATTGGCGACAGCCCCAACGTTTGATAAGCTTACAATTATAAATGCTAATCTACAGCCCTTTGGCGATTCACTTCGTTATGAGGGCCGCTCCCCCCATGCAGTGTCTCTGCGGGGGTTCTTCACCATATTTCACAACGGCTGCTCTGTGTGGGTCGATTAAGGCGGAGCATAGAAGTACAGTACAATGATGAATCCTGCTGCACTGTCCTCCTTTTGGCATGGTAGACACAGGGCGGCGAGACGCTGCATGAAGATCGAATAAAAATGTGTCATAGCGAGTTTAATGCTAGAGATTCATACCTGTCAACCCCTTATCAGTGCCCTACCTTATTACAGACCAATTCAGACATTATTGATTACCCAGTGTCCTTATAAATCTCAACGTTCATCCTACAAAGTCCCATCATAAGGGAGAAACACAAACAAATAGATATTTTGTTGCCCGTATTTAAATGTCTGTATGCCGTACGGACCTGAAAACTCAATTTCCCTGTACAAGAATACGGAGAGAACTGTATGGGTTGACAGGTTTGTAGATTTAGAAGGAAAAAAAAGCAAATTTAAAGTCACGGTTATTCCGACTAATAACGTAGCCTTGTGTTACAACACGCGGTGCATGACGGGAGCCGGCACACGGGGCACGTCACAGTGCGCGGTGCATGCTGGGGGCTGGCTGTGTGAAGCCGTTGAAGCTATGCACCAAGGCAGGGGGATTTCACACTCCGCTGGTGGTGATGTTTATTTACTGGGCCTGGCAGTTGGTTAAAAAAAAAACACATTCATTCCAACTGAGGTTGAAAGCGTTAATGCGGTTTCATTCACCGCAAGGCCACCGCGGGTGCCCTGGTGGGCCCCAGGGGCCTTAGTCCGGCACCTGACCTGCGGCCCCCACCGACGATACACAAAGAGTGAAAACACCCCCCATTGTCATCATCATCGTGCTGCTGTAAAACCCAACAATGGTTTCAAATGTGTGGTGGCCCTCACCACACTCCCGATGATGTCTTATCGGCGAAAGTGGGCCCCTCCTGAAAATTACTGAAGAACACTGCCATTAATGTATTCCCTCTATTCGTCTATCTCTGTCCGTCTGTAGCGGTAAGTCTCGATAACTCCTTATCGATCCAATACGAATATATATTGCTGTGATTTGTAGTGACTCGCCCTTCAGGAAACACGGCCAGATTGATCAAATAGTTGCCTAAAACTGCACTAAATATAAAAGCCAGCTTCTCACGCATTAACAATGTTCCATCCTTTGACTGCCACTCCACCAATAAAGTGGGTATCATGAACCCAACAATCTCACCTCCGATTAGCACGGTTGGCTACGTACGGTGCAAAAGAAGTTCAACATACATATAACTAGCAGCAGATCTATTGAGTGGTATGACCAATTTATCCCACAAGCACCACATAAAAATATATAATTTACGACCGAACATCACAATGCAGGACCCTCCTAAATGTGTGTCTTGGTGATTCATTGAGGTGTTGCTGCATAAACTTCGTGCATTTGTTATAGGCCAGGTGTGTCCAAACTTTATTCCATAAGGATTTTCAGAATCACCACCACCTCTGTGCTACAGTCCTCACACCTCAGGCCTGCACCTCCACAACACATTACAACACAGTCGATATGGTGTCCAAGACCATTCACTAAATTATATCACGCACTCGCACAAACGAATTAACTTTAGCACTGTCATTTAATTTCAGAGCCACGGTGGTATTTTTTATATATGTCCTCAGGTTTTTCCCTCCATGTTAAAAAAACATGCGTTTAAGAGTATTGGGCTGCTATAAATGTCCACGTGATAAGCCACTGTATGAGCTCTCATTTGTGATAGCCAGGTTGCTTCTGAAATAGAGCTTTATAGCTCAGTGGGCCTTACGTGGTAAAATAAAATATAGTTTAATGGTACGATGAAGGAACGCAAGTTCGTGGGCCGGATTTTGCCTCTTAAGAGCCCTGTTGTTGCAGGTGTAGATGATGGCGTTTCCACTGCCCCTTGTTCCCAGGTCGCGGATGCTGCCTCCTCACCCCTTGTCCGGCGCGGCACGTGGCGCCGTTCCCTGTCCCCAGCCGCACGCCTCGCCATCCTCCTGGGTCCCCAGAGCTTCAGCCCTGATGCGGAGTCTGCGGGACAGGAGGCACAGGGCCAAGGCAGCCATCCGTCGAATGAAACGCAACCTGACGCCAGCGTCAAAGGCGTGGACGAGGACACGCAACACGGTGCCCGACATGATGATGGTTATGATGATGGTTATGATGGTCATGATGATGGTTATGATGATGGTTATGATGGTCATGATGATGGTTATGATGAAGGTCATGATGATGGTTATGATGGTCATGATGATGGTTATCATGGCAGGATGTGAGTGCCATGCTCATGCACCTTGACCTGAGACCGGGAGACGTGGTGCTAGAGGCCGGGTCGGGGAGTGGAGCCATGATGCTGATGCTGTCCGGTGCAGGTGACCCCTCCCGATGCACCGTTTGATTCACCCACGTTTACCACGCCACATTTCACCATGCCGCGCTTCACCGTGGGACTTCACCGTGCCCCGGGGGTCGGCAACCAGAATAAGAGACTTTTTTTCCAATTCGGTAAAATAAAACCTCAATATTTCAAAAGAGCCGCAATGGATGTGAATACGAGACGGTGGTCCTTAATAAATAGCGTCACAAAAACAGTCCTTAATGAGCCACAGGTTGGTGACCCCTGTCCATGGCAAACTGGGCTTCCATGGCAAACTGGACTTCCATGGTAAACTGGGTTTCCATGGCAAACTGGACTTCAATGGTTAACTGGACTTCCACGGACAGGGGCCGGCAAACAAAATAACAAGAATAGCCATTTTTTGGAATTCAGTAAAAAAACAACTCTATTTCAAGAGCCACAACGCAGTCTCCGGAGCCACAGGTCTTGCCGACCTCTGGCCATGCCACACTTTACAATGCTGCATGAATAAAACGACTTTTTCTCATGTAGCCTTGAACAAACCGTTGGGGTAAGTTCTGTTGGCAAGCACCTATTAATACCTGCACAGCGTACAATGTGGTGGTGTGGTTAGCGCCAGGTCTGGTATTGTTGCCCTTCCTCAGTGCGGATTTTTGGTACATTGTATCAGGTACTCGTTTGAGGCCGACTCGCCCTAGAGGAGGCCCATATCACGTTTTGGATATCCATGGATTGTATGTTGAACTTATTTCGCACCGTACTTAGCCAACCGGGATAATCGGAGGTGCAGGGAAAGATACAACAAACTAAACACAAAATTCAGTTCTAAAGAAATGAGTTTTCAATCTAGATTTAAAGTGCAAAGCTGCAGTGGCGGCGTTAGCGATGGTCGGGAATTGATGCCACATCGCTGGCTTTGTAGGGCAGTATATAAACACACTTTTACAACTATTAAAAAATAAGAATAGGTTAAACACTTTCTGGCAATAAAACAGGTATTAAGATGTTCAAACACCAAATAGAAACCTTTTTCAAGGAATCATGTCTGCATTGTTGTGGTGAACATGTAAACAAACATGCTCTGATAATATATGCATTGTCTTTGAAACTGATTGGCCGACACCAGAGACAGCCTTCTTTAGGGCCTAGTCTCAACCAGTGTTAGGCCAGAGCAAAACGCAAAAAGAGGAACAGCACGAAGACAATGCCACTATCGGAGCATTTAAAGCTCGGGGTGAGCATCTACAAAATGGGACCTTTTTTTCCAGTATCAAAATATGAAAAACTACGAAGAGGTTTTACCCTCTCTGACACTTTTACAACTCGTAGTCAAGCCACTGATTGTATATATGAATGTTGAACTTCTTTCGCACCATACGTAATCATCTGTGCTCATCGGAGGTGCAGTGAGGGAGGGACCAGAAACTAAACACAAAAAGCAGTTCTAAAGAAATTAGTTTTCCATCTCTAAGAAATTAGATTTCAATCTAAGAAATTCGTTTTCAATTAGATTCGACTCGCAACCGCATGATGCGCATCACTTCGACATGGCCCACAAGCAATATCCGTCACTGTGAGCATCTTAGCCGCACTAATCAGGTACTAGAGGGAAATATTTTTGACCTGGCTATAGCATGGTGTTTCTAATTTTAGTCCGCTTCTGTCACAGCCAAAGGCCCTAGCAGTGACAGAACAATTTCTGATTTGCAACCCCACCTAATTTACTCCTGGTATAAGCACAACCGTTTATTATAAACGCGCTGTGCATTGTGGCAGCTGACCGTAAACGCAACGGAGGTGGGCGCACATGTCAGCAAGGTTTATAATAAACGGTTGTGCTTATACCAGGAGTAAATTAGGTGGGGTTTCAAATCAGAAATTGTTCTGTCACTGCTAGGGCCTTCAGCTGTGACAGAAGCGGACTAAAATTAGAAACACCATGTTATAGCCAGGAAAAAAATATTTCCCTCTAGTACCTGATTAGTGCGGCTAAGATGCTCACAGTGATGGATATTGCTTGTGGGCCATGTCGAAGTGATGGGTTTCACGTGGTCGCGAGCCGTATCAAATTGAAACCTCATTTCTTAGATTGAAATGTTGATTTATTATAGATTGAAATCTAATTTCTTTAGAACTGATCTTTGTGCATTTAGTTTCTGGTCCTTTCCCCCGCACCTCCGATTTGTACGGTTGGCGACGTATGGCGCAAAAAGAAGTTCAACATACACACGTACACACACAGAGCCCCATACTCTTCTGCGCTACATTTGCATCGGCCACAACACGCCACTTCAGTGGCAGACGGGTGACTGCGCAGCGCCGATGCGGGCGCACTCAGGACCACCTGCCCCACGTGTGCACGTGCGCTTGTGCAGCATCACGCAGGCCGTGGATGTGGCGGCCACCGTTCGGTCAGAGCGGCTGCCGGTGAGCGTCGAGCTAATGCTGGAGGTGTCCCACTGAAGCTGGGTCATCAATTCCCGCGCTGCACAGAGACGGCAGTCCCTACATGAGACCCACGCGGGTCGGCGAGCTGGACGAGGGGGACGGAGGTGAGTGTGGTGCGGCGAGGCCTCAACACCGCCCAGCCCACAGTAGCTGGGTCTGTGCCACGACCTGTGACTGAGCCGTTACCACACTGCTCATGGCACCCGGGCTTTGCTAATGATCTCCTCAGCCAACCTTCACCACGCTACCCACGGAAATTGTCATCCCATGGCTTGTCGATGAACCTTCACACCACCCACAGTAGCTGGCTCCGTGTCACGATCTGTTACTATGCCTTCACCACACTGCTCACGGTGTGGAGAGATGATGACCAATCGTCTGGATTTAAGAAGAGGTATTGAGAGTGGCTGTGTCCACGTTGGTGGGATGCGAGGGCGTGTGTTGTGCCCAGGAGGTCGCGAGGGTTTTGGGCGACAGTAACCCTTCTCCCCTCCCACGTATTTTTTAAACAGGGTTAGAGAAGCCATCGCTTCACTGGTGGGTGGTGGACGCCGCCGTGCCACTGTGGGCGGTGTGTATAAAGGGTAGGCGATCACGTCTGGTGCAGAGGCTCAGGTGAGTTGGCATCGGCAAACTTCATTGCACGTGAGTTCTTAACCATTTTACCCATCCCGAGGCGGTCTGCAAGTTGCTGGGTGCGGTGTCCCGTTCGCCGCCGAATGTCAGAACGTGCAAGCGGTTCGCCGTTAGTTTCATTTAGAGAGGCGTAGCGCTGTTGTTTTTAAAGACATTGCACTCACCGCAGAGAACCGTAGCGACACGACCGAACTCTACGATAGCTGGCGCCAAACTATGCCACATGCCCTCCCACATGACCTTGTGGGAGCCTCGGGTACGTCTTCCGACCTGAAGACGTACCTAATAAAATTATTTTCTTTAGATTTTTTCTCATTATTTCGTTCTGATGACGTACACATACGTCACCGGAATGGGAGAGGGTTAACAGTCAACATAATATTGACTGTTAAGAAACGTAAGTGTGCTCGGGCAGCAGGGCGCATCGTCATTGGCGTGGATGATGATCGGCGATCGAGACTAAAGGAGCAGCGGTTGCCAAAAAAATGGAAACGCGGCCAGGAGAGGACATCCACCACGGAGACGGAGCAAAGGAATCAGTTTGTGTGCTGGAGTTTGGGGAGTTGTTGCATCGTAGGACCTTGAGGGGTGAAAACGGCATGGAGAGATCTTAATACAGCAATGTTTAGATCATGGTCGATGATGATGTGTCAGACTCCCACCTTGCAAGGTGATGAGGTAATCGATAGCAGTACAGTCTAGAGAATTACTACTGCAAATAACGTGTGCTATGTGACTATATATTGCGTATGAGTGTATATCATATGCATGTGTATTTATCTTTGTTTGATACTTTTAAGGGTTGTGCATGTGTATTGCTGTGTTTACATGCATAGTGAGTTCAACTGAGTCACAGAAGTACTCCTTGGAGAAAACACATTAATACCAAAACAAAGGGGTAACTGCCCCTTCACCAGATAACAACCTCCGGTGGTGGACCACCAGGCTAACTACACTAATTACACCGTAACTAGCTACATGACCACCAGGCTAACTACACTAATTACACCGTAACTAGCTACATGACCACCAGGCTAACTACACTAATTACATCGTAACTAGCTACATGACCACCAGGCTAACTACACTAATTACACGTAACTAGCTACATGACCACAGGCTAACTAACTATTACACGTAACTAGCATGACCACCAGGCTAACTACACTAATTACACTGTAACTAGCTACATGACCACCAGGCTAACTACACTAATTACATCGTAACTAGCTACATGACCACCAGGCTAACTACACTAATTACACTGTAACTAGCTATGACCACCAGGCTAACTACACTAATTACATCGTAACTAGCTACATGACCACCAGGCTAACTACACTAATTACACTGTAACTAGCTATGTGACCACCAGGCTAACTACACTAATTACACTGTAACTAGCTATGTGACCACCAGGCTAACTACACTAATTACACCGTAACTAGCTACGTGACCACCAGGCTAACTGCACTAATTACATTGGGAGTAGCTACAGCGGACAGGACCCCAGCTCGCGTCCAGGTCCACGTGTTGGTGACTTTTCTCAGACGTCAAGCGTAGATCTTCAGGATAACAACAGCAACGCCGAATCCCGGTCCCTCTGGGGACCCGGCTTATATCCTCACTGGTCGTGGCTGGCTCCGCCCTTGGCCACGACCACCTCGAATCCTCTCGCCGGTTTTCGACCCGACACGTGACCACCCCTAGCCCCCACCTGGGCGCCCTGTGTAGACTTTACCGGCCACGTGTCCTTCGGGGTCAACCAGAGTGCCATGGCCCTTTGTAATCCCATTCCCATGGCCGGCACTCTCACACCCTACCCTGTAGGGGTCGGCACTGCACGCAGAGCGTGGTGCCATCCATCACTGCCAGTCAGCTCTCACCGAGCCCCTCTAGGGCCGGTACTGCACCCACATAAACGTGGTGCCCACGATATCAATACATCGCACGGCGTGCCTCACTAGAGCCGGCATCACACAGTGACATCATCGATGTCACTGTACATGTACAACCCCATGACCGACAAGGCATGGAAAGTTTTTTTTATAAGAACCCATTGAGAGAGTCTGCTCTTATTCAAGAGAGCTTCGTGTGGAGTAGATGGGCTGGTGATCTGTATTTGCAGGTTCATGTCATTTGAATTTCTGTATCGTATATTTTGTTAAGGTGAAGTTAAATGATAATGCGTGGATTGTATTTTTTTCACAGCTTTCCTCATCAAGCTGCGAAAGATACTGCCAGAATAACCACGCAAGGATGCCTTCAACCAGCGGTGGATTAACACAGGGATGCGAATTATTCTTACCGAATGTATGATGCTAATTCCTTTGCCTGAACGATGTTAATAAATATTTTGTATTACGACGTTTGTAATATGTGTGGTTTGTGTGTGACGCCCTGAGCTGATTCAGCATTGCCCAAGTATTTTGAGCTTGCAACACATAGACCTCCATTCAGTCGCACACACTCATAGGCCTACACTTGGGAGGCAAGGGTTGGTGGGGCCTGCAGTTTTAGTTGTTGCAAATCCTAAACTCACTTGCACATTGTGGTGGTCAGGAGATAGTGCGGCAAGTGGGATTGTGAACCCATTTGTGTCTCAAACTTTAAGTCTTAACCTTTAAGTTTTAACCTCTCATAGCATGGGTTTTCTCCGAATACACCGATTCTTTCCTACATCTCTAAACAAGAAATAGACGTCCAGGAGGGCGGGTCAGAACGGTGCAACAAACAATACAAACAAATCACTGAAGAAAATTTTTTCTATCTTACCAGGTAAAGCCAACTGAGCAATTCGCCTATTTTTCAGAAGCGACCTGGCTACAGATGATCGCTCAACAAAGTGGCTTATCACGTGGATAATTTATCAAAGCAAAATGGTCTTAAATGAATGATCGAAACTAAAAACGGAAGGATTTGGACCAACGTCATAATTCTGCGAGGGTTTTTGTAGAGCAAGGGGGGGGAAGCCTCCCAGCCGAGGCACCACCAGTCGGGGACCCCGGTAAGAACTTCTCCACAGTCTCAAAAGCTGAGGAGGTTGGGAGGGAAAATGCACAGGCCTGCGGGAAACTAAGGTGTGTGGTGAGGGCGGGGGGCACGAATGACTTCAGTGAATTGCTGAGGCAGGACGGTGGACTGTGCTGTGTGTGCGATTCGGAACAACAGTTTATTTACCGGGACGACTCATGTGCACCCCGTTGGTGAGATGTTAACTACCTCGCCTGGTATACAGGAGATCGTGGGTTCGACCCCGACCTTGACGCCTGCTGTGTATTTGAAGTTTGTGGTGTTTCTCTCCCCGTGATTGTGTGGATTTTCCTTTTGATCCTCCGCTTCCCCTCCCGACATTTAGAATCAACGTGCGTTTCGAGTATTTGGCTGCTAGCAATGTTTGCGTGATATGCCACTTCGTTGAGCTATGATTTGTGATAGCCAGGTCACTTCTGAAAAAGAGCTACATAGCTCAGTGGGCTTTACCTGGTAAAATAAAATAGTAAAATAGCCATACTCTGGTTTTTTCGGTAAAGTCACGTAGGTAAAGAAAATAAAAAAAAGATAAAAATTAATTTTAGCTGTGATTTTCACACCTGATGATGATGATTGCTTGTGTTGCAATAGTAACGTCGTGATTTAATTTAGTTGATTTATTTTTATCTTTTATATTATTTTCTTTACCTACGTGACTTTACTGAAAGAACCAGAGTATGGGTCCTTGCAGTCACGAAAACTTCAAATCTAGAATGAGTAAAATAGCCTTCAATAAGAGAGTTGTTTTGGGGTTAGATCGCGTAAATATATAAATGTGTCGTTAAACCCCGCCACCAGCCGACACAGCCAACTCTAGTAAGGGTTGTCACGTAATCAAAACGTGCCAATTCGTCACTATTACAGCACACCGGTGTGTTGGAGAGCCAAGCCACAACATTTACAATCTGAGTACGACGTTTCGCAACTAATTACAACTAGCTTAAGTCTAACTTTGTCGTTCCTTACATAGAGGCGTAGATGTGGTAACCACACTTCTACGCTCTTGCGCAAAGTGGGGTGGGGGGATTACTGAGGCAACATATTATGCGAGCCCTTTATTTGATCATGTCCTTCCTGTCTATTGTGTATTAAAATATCCGTACCAACTTTCAATAGGGTAATTACCCCCCGTCCGCCCCCCCCCCCCCCCCCACTTTGCGCAAGAGCGCAGAAGTGCGGTTACCACATCTACGCCTCTATATATTGGTCGCGAAAGCCTACGTGTTAAACTAAAATAGCCTTGTTGGCTGATGGCCCTCATTCTGTACACATCTCGGGATAATCCACTCACCGGTAATGTTCTCATCATTAGGTTTCTGGCCTGCTCGTGTCGCTGTGGATGTTGAATTGGACGTTCGTAATGTGTTGTTTTTGCTATCTTTGCATCGTTTTACCAATTGTGAGTTAGGGTCGCCACCGTTAACATTCGGCCAAAGTAATTGGCAAAGGTCGCGCTAAAAAAATTACCTTCTTCAAAGTCAAGACCATACCTGTCCACTCCGAATCAGTGTCCTACCTTATTACAGACCAATTCAGTCATTATTGGTCATCTCCGTGCCCTAGGCGCTCTGCTCCTCCCACCCAGCTTAAAAGACGCTGCCAAGCTTGGCAGTATTCACTGAAGCGCTGTCTTACTGATAGTTCTGTTTCTTCACCTGAGGAAGGCTACTTGTGTTGTGGCAGAAACGTCTGGAGAATTTCATGTTATTATGTTTTATTTTTATTATTTTATTTCCATTGTACGTGACTTTACCAAAGAACCAATAAGATGAATCCCTGCAGTCACGAAAGCTTTAAATTGAAACATTGCCACACCGCTCCGCACACAGCTGACGTGGCATTCTTCGAGAGGACACTTAAAAAATCTGCTCCTTGTTACATGCTGTCTCGCGTGAATTTGAAGCGTCATTAAAATCGAAGGAAATGTTTCTACATTCGCGTAAAGTGACTTGAGTAATTGTGACTTCAAGGAGCATCATCATAGCATTTGACGCCACACTTTGGAACAAATTCCGTGCCCGTTAAATGCAGCTACCTTACAACATGAACTGGTCCTGGGCATCCCACTCCCTTCGCCAACGCCCGCACTGACCAGCACCATGTATGGTTTAACACCCCCCCTCCCCCACGACTGACATGGTGAGAGAGGGGGGGCCCTCGTTACAATGCGCTGTGCACTGTGGCAGCTGGCCGTAAACGCAATGGAGGTGGGCGCACATGTCAGCAAGGTTTATAATAAACGGTTGTGCTTATGTAGTGCAGTAGGAAGGTGCGTAGCACAAACAGCGTGATTACCTGATCACACAGACAGTACGGGTCATCTTGGATCAGCCTGTAGTGAAGGCGAATACAGTGCAGGTTATATTAGGGCAATTAAGCTGTGGTAGCCGTGGACGGCTGTGTTTGGTTGGTGCTGTTGCTGGGGCTGGAGAGGCGTCTGGAAGTCTGGCGAGAAAGAGGTGCGACGGTCATGCGGAGCGCCGTTGGGACGCGGGTTAATTAATTGGGGGTGTAATGAGAGCGGGTATAAGAGCGGGAGTCGGAGTCAACAGAGGGGAGTTGAGTTGAAGGGAGTTGAGCTTGGAGATGGGTTGAAGTTAGAGAGCTTGGGAAAGTTGGAGTGAAGAGTTGAAGGGTGGAGTTGCTGAGTGCAAAGTCGCTGTGTGCGAAGTCGCTGTGTGCGAAGACGCTGTGTTCGAAATCGCTGTGTGCGAAGACGCTGTGTGTGAAGTCGCTGTGTACGAAGATGCTGTGTGTGAAGTCGCTGTGTGCGAAGGCGCTGTGTGCGAAGACGCTGTGTGCGAAGATGCTGTGTGCGAAGTCGCTGTGTGCGAACACGCTGTGTTCGAAATCGCTGTGTGCGAAGGTGCTGTGTGCTAAGACGCTGTGTGCGAAGACGCTGTGTGCGAAGTCGCTGTGTGCGAAGACGCTGTG